ACTTTTCACAGCACCAGTTCCCCTGCAGTGTAGCAGAATTGTTTGCCATCAGCCTTTTTGCCCATCGATCCAATGACGGTAACAGAAGGATGGCAGAAGTTTGCACAAAACCCACTCCTACTGTGCCTGCCTGAAAGGCAAAACCTTTTCAGCTGCAATCAGTTAAATTGCATTAAATTAAATTTAAAAATGCATTATTCCTTTGAGGTACTCAGAAAAGGAAATTCACATGTTTATATTAAAAATGCACACTCAGATATACCACTAGCCCAATCTTACCATCTTACAGCATCTGAAAGGCCAAATACGTACTTGCAGAAAACATCCCCCTCTTATGCATCCTGTTGCCCCCAGAACAACCTTCCACCCCATCTCCAGTCTTTCCCAATATGACAGCATCAGATGTTGGTGCTGGGACACAATCATTACGGTGTGCTAGTGCTGCCACCATATACACCTATTTTCAAAAGCTTATAACTGAGCTTTGAAGTTCACTTCATGCTGCAGCTTGGTGTGCAATGCCATTTCTGGGTACATCGAAGAAAATGTATGACAGTTGTTCAGTTGTAAGTCAGAAAGCAGCAAGTGATTCATGGTGGTTGAGATTTAACTTTCAAAATAGGATCCTTCCATCCATTTCTAATGTTTTGCGGGGGATTTTTTCAGCCCTCAATGGCTTTTTCTCACAGAGCTGCCTTCAGCACACTTCCCACCATACCTGTGGGCACCTAAGCAGAGCCCAACTTTGCAAATGGTCCCTTCCGACAGACCCTGCTGAGGTGGTCCCACTGATTCCAGCACCACTAGATAGGCATTTCCAAAGCTTGCTAAGATCTGTGTTTTTTCCCATGGAGCTTGTCCATGCATGTCTATATGTAACGATGCTCAGTTCTTTTATCTGGGCGTGGCTCGTGCAAGCTTATTGATTAACAATTTTTAATGTATTTGCTGAACTCATTGCAAATAAACAATTGCAATAAATTCCTTAAAAATACAACAGGAAGAGTACTGTGGTATTGTATTACAATATTCTAGCTCTCAAAAATGTTGCTGTGTTGCTTTAGGATACAGTCTAACATCATAGATGTTCCCTTTCTTAAAATGGGGGGAAAGATCAGCGCAACATCATTACCCTTAACTGGGAATTACAGACCTTTATTGTTAAAGAGGATATAGCATTTTATTCTTTGGCAGATGATGTTTTTTCACTCGATAAGAGGACATAAGCTGGCATGCAGTGTGGTTTCCTTTGTTAGTCTGAAAATCAACCTTTACATTAAATATTTTTATTACGTCAAGTACTGAAAGGAGGAAGAATTCATTGGCTGGAATCCAAATATCTGTTCTCCAATGTTTAAAGTTTATAATTTTGTTTGTGTCTTTATAATATGATGTACCATTCTATATTACACATTCAAACAATTCATCAAAGGTCCAGGGATAAAGAGCTGCAAATAAGTTGAAACACTTCAAACACACCATCAGTGTCACTTACGTCTGATTTTGCCAACCTGCTGCTCTACATGTAAGTAGAGAGCAATTCAGATACTTGGACTTAGCCTTGCATCATCAGCACAGTTTATGTGGAAGAGAAGCAATTTAAACAGGAACAAAAATCCCTGCACCATTTGTCACTGTCACTTGAAAATGAAAACCAAAATTTATTTTTTCCAGAATGCTGCATTTTAACAACAGTTTATTCTCTCTTTAGTGTGAAAGCACTGATGTTTCACTTATATTACAAATTATTCTGGGCTACTGGAGCTTTTATGCCTGGCCATCAAATACCATGCCTAATAAAATGCAGAGTATGGGGACCAAGCTGTTTCTCTCCTGGATAAAACTTCCTTCTACTTAGTAGCCACAAAGCACATGAGACAATGTACTTCAGGGTAGTTACTGCACATCTCAGGTGAGTAAAGTAATTCCACCTTCACTCTCACACCTCCAGACACTTTGGGACATAGAATGACCCAGGAACAACCTTTCCCCTCTTGCTGCTAACCTGTGATGTTTAGATGATAAATGACGCCGTATCCAATCCTGTTTTGCCAGGGGCAACTCCAGCCTCTTACCCACCACTGCTGTCTCCAGGCAAGAAAACTAGTGTAAGCAAGTGGACTATGATGCTAGGAAGAAATGCACAAGTTTTATTTTCAAACATCACTGGACTGCAATATGAAGAGTCATATGGCTTATTTATATTTCAGGAGATGGTAGTGAATAATTTAAAGAATACTTCATCCCAAAACATAGGTTGCTTTAATTTATAGCTAAGCTAATGTACACATATTTTCTTATTTTCATAAATGTCAAGCACCCACTTTTCTACCCCCACAAAGATTTAAAAGTACATGCATGGCACTTCCTACAAAGCTGTTGTGGGCTAACGGCTTACAAATAATGTTGATTTTTTTGAGTAAGAAATATTTATCAGACCAAAATATAATCATTTAAATCAACTTCTTCCTGAGCAACTTAGAATTTGGAATGTGCTGAAAAGTTTTAATAAATAAGTAAAAGATTAACCAGCTCAAAACGTACCTTTTAACAATTAAGTAAAATATATTTCATGACAGACAAAAAGGCTGTAGGCCCAGCAATCTCAGACACTATGTGCCAGACAAATTTATGAAGTACCATTCATGAAGGAGAGGCCAGGTTGATTGTTATGAAAAATACAACAATATTAAAACCTAGCAAGTAAATCAGTAAAGAGGTTTTGTATTTAGGTTCTAAGTAGTGATGGCTGACAATACCATTAAATAAACAGATAAATGCAGACTTTACGGTAAGCGGCAGTGAACTAGCAGGAAGGGTGGAAGTGTTAAGTGACTGATTATTCTGTTACAATGTTGGCAAAAAGGATTAAAACAGATTTTCTGAAAGGTGTGAATATTAGTTTTCTTTCCAAAATATAACAGCTCCACAGTGTGTAAACTAATCATTACTCTTTCAATGTAATTTCATAGAAACCACTTAAAATACACAATGCAGCAGATTCATATTTTAACTAATATGTTAGTTGTTATCTGTGCTGTTTTCAGTTTCCTTTAACATGTTACCCCATGGTCGTGTATTGCTACCACCAACCTGGGATGTTAATAATGAGAACAGAATCCTCTACATAATGTTTTCTGTAAGTTAGCATCTTGTCTTTAACACGATTGCACTTCTTTATTTTCATTCTCTGCCTGTAGGTACAGTAAAGACTGACTGGTGATGAAGATGGGCCATAATGTCTATTTGCTCTCAGCAGGCACATGGAAGAGGAAACCCTTAAAAAGCACATTCGAGCTTAGCCCGAGTTTATATGCCTCGTCCATCACAAAATAACTTTTGCTTATTATTGCAAACCAAAGTAGGACCTTGCAGAGGGCAGACACAATGCTGAGGCAGCTGCAGAATAGGTAGATATTTAAGAAAGACTGTAATTTAGACAGTGGTGCATTGCCCCTGGAGTGTTATTGAGGCTCATCCTCCTGCAACTCCTCAGCTCTGCTTCTTTCCTGTGCTCCAGGACAGGAATTTATTGCTATTATCCTCAACTAGTCCATCTTCATCCAGCAAAAATGGTGCAGAAGAGGCCAAGGCCTCATCATGACCCCTAAACCCCCCTATTCTGCTGCAGAACAGATAGCCAAATAGTTCTGCCTATTGCTGCCTGCAGGTTTGTCACTTCTGCACCACCAGTCCTGGCAAGCCTGCACGTCACAGGGAACCCTGGGGACAACCACCTTAAAGACAACTGCATGTCACATATTGAAGCTATCCCCCTTTCCCCTCTCAGCCTCCACCCTTCCCCTTTCTAATGTTTGCTGATAATACTTGTAGTGATTAACAAAGGCAAACTTCCTCAGGCTCCTCTCAACAACGTATCATTGAATCAGCTTTGGTTTCACATAGTATGCCACCTCCTTTTACCACTCTGAAATATTTAAACTAGAGAAGCTGTGTATGTCCATACTGGTAGTTTTACTTCCAGCCATGCTGAAAGCTGACTTCGGGTGTTTGTGCTGGTGGGGCAGCTGCATGCAGCTTGAGAAGTGACCAAGTAAACTTTGCAATGGCAGAAATACTAGTCATGCTTAATAGGACTTCCAGATAGACTATGTTTTTAAATGAGTAACTTTTTCTGTATGTCTTTGGATTTCTGACCCATAAAAATCTACCAGTACCCTTCCTGAACGTAAAAACCATAGGCTGCACCTTTCCCTTCAGGCTAATAGAAAAGCACTCAACTGCAGAAACAAAACTACCATTTAGGTAACCCTGCCTTGCACTTTTCGTCTGTTGTGGCCATTCACTGACCTGATAACTTTTTCCACTCTATGAACTAGAAGGGTGTACCAAAACAATCTAGTTCCTGTAACTTGCCTTACGTCCACTAACATTAATTTGCCAGAATAGCAGCCTCACTCCTACCACACTGGGTAATTCAGGAGCCATTATCCTGCTCCCTTCTGAGCCTGTTCTCCTCGATGTGCACAGACACGGCAGCGGCTCTGACCGTACCACTGGGATACCAGTGTGCTCTGGGCAGGAAGAGGCACTTCCCACACGGCTCCCTGCCCGCAGTCCGCATTGCTGGTAGTTAGTGCCGCAGCGTTACGCAATCAAGACCTGTTTCTGGAGAAAGAGAGAGACAAGAGTCTGTAAAATTTACTTTTCAAGACCAGTTCATCTATTCTTCTGTGTTTTGCAGGTTCCCAGAGGACTACTGTGTACTCTAAAAGTTATTTTGTGATAGACAGTAGATAGTTCTCTCTTAAACTATAGCACAAATGCTACAGAGTCAACATGTTATAATGAATCACACCCGCAAAACCAGGTATCTCCTGGTGGCCCCAGCATGTGCAAAAGGTCTTCATTCTGTTTCAAATGCTGCTGCACATTAACTCAGTTCCTTAAGGAATTGCTTTTAACAATAATTAAAAAAAAATAAAATCTTAAAAAAGCTGGAGGGGTCACCAGAAGAGAAGGGATAGCTCTTCCATCCATCACCTTTTATAGATATCCTCTAGCCACTTCTCATCATCTTGCTCCTCATCATCGATCGGTTCCTCTGTTTCCAGGGGTGAAGGAATGAAGAACTCCGGTCTGGGACGTGGTTTCCTGATATGAGACTTCAATCCAAATTTGCGCTTCAGCAGGTGGAACTGTTCCTTGACATAGTAATAAAACTCATATTCATATCTCATGCGTTGGTAGAGGATCTGTACTGCTTCTGGAGATGGGACGGTCTTTTTCACTGTCACAGTTAGATTGCCAAGTTTCCTATGTTCTGTAAAAAACAAAAAACAAGCAACATGGTGGATGCTGATTAATGAGACCAGACCTAAACTTTTGAAATGAAAAAAAAAGATTAAGGCATGGCCCTACTGCAGTACTGACACAAACGACCTCAATATGTCTCCTTACTCATGGATTCACTTTTAACAACAGATGAAAAAACAGAGACGTTTGAAGTTTAATGTTTAAATATGGCTAGTTCATGCATGGCACTTGGCACTGTGTGTAGTCAGCGAGGATCTTTATTAGCAGCTGTTACCTGAAAATGCAAATCAGGTCATACCAATTATGAGCATAAAGTACACATTGAGAGACACATAATCTTGCCTTGCTTTGGAACTTTTGCCTGATACATGCAAAATGTATCTCCAGCACACAGCTGAGCTCAGCTAATAAATAATTTCCTATATAGCACACGACATCATGTCTCAGTTGTGTTTAATTATTGTTCAAACCTAAACAGATATATATCAACCTGAATCCACCTCTGGCTAGCACCAAAGCATTGGCACTACCATTTATTCTCTTATTCTCTTTTACACCACCTTTACCCAAGGACCAGCACAGACTAACAAATGTCTCATCTTCTTACATTCTCAGTCAGTTGCCATTGATGGGTATTACATTAATTCATACCAGAAAGGACACTGTACTCAATCTGTCCTTGGCTGGGAAGGCCTCAACATTCCTTTTTCTGGTGCTTGGTTGGTAGCTCCCGCCAGCTTTGCAGTCTGGTTTTCTTTATGCACTCAGCAGCAAATATACACTACTAAATATTGCATTTATTAAGCTTAAGCCTTTATACTGCTTGCCAACTTAATTTTTATTTTACATAGGTTATTTTTGTTACAGAAAACTCCATTTACATAGCTGGAAAAAGCTCTTTACTTATACAATCCCTCTAGGACTCTAACTGGGAAAAGCCACTTCTTACAGCTCCAGCTCCCTTTGGTGGTGGCTGCTCCTCCCAGCAGAGAGAGGCACTTGTGTTGGGCTCAGGGGTGCTGCCAGTGATGACAGCGTGAAAGGTACTTGACTGTTTCCTTAGGGGGGTGGTCAGTACAGGGCAGGACAATTCCTGGTGGTGTGCCAGGCAGGGAACCAGCCTGCTGACACCTCCTGGCCAAAGCAGCCAGCTGCTACATGCCACCCTCATGGCGGGCAGAGAGCAAGCAGCAAACACCCTCACCGGCTGAACCTGCAGTAGTCATGGCATAGAGGGCTCCTGGACACGCACAACTCTGCTCTGCTCTACACATATACCTACGTGTATAGATGTATATATACAAACAGACATAAACACTCAGACTCTGGAAGGCTACAGTAATGTAGACTTTTCTGGCTTCTGTTGGTTTGCCTCACAGCATCATCATCAGTAACCGCAGAGCATAAATAGCTGTGAGGTGCTGGCTGTCAGATGGTGCAAGCTGGGCCTGTGCCTGGCTGCAGGCTCAAGCCTTTTGATAAAACAAATGAACTTAGCTTTTTTTGCACTTGAATTTTATTTAGACTGGTTTCTAATCTTAAATACTCTTAAAAGGCTCTTTAATACAAATATGAATTAACAACAGAACTGCCTCTTGAAGCCACCTTAACCACCTCTCCTCATCATAGAAGCAAAATGGAAAAATTAGGTACATCTGGCTTGAAGCCAAAATAACAATCTGCATATGCTACATAAACCCAGCTGTCCCACCAAAGGACCCCCATTTTATGACCTTTGAGACAGCTAACCATATGGAGGGCAACAAACTACACCATTTACTTCTTACAGTTATTTTTTTTAACTGTGTTTGCTTTGGCATTCTTATAAATTACTAAAAAGCATGTACTATGCACTAACCCAAACTCCCAGTGCAGCCTGCTCATGCCTCGAATGAAGACTAAATGGGCATGCAGATATGGATGAAGAAAATTAAATTCCTTTGGGTTACCAGATGATGAATATTTAACATTACTTGGCCTTTTTATTTATTTTATTTTATTTTTTTTTTTAACCTAAGAAATCTTATTACTCAAACAAGCCTGCAAACCCAAACCGGAGAGGAAAGTGGGTTTTAGACTTTGTGGCTCAAACCCCCTTGGATTGCCATATTTAGACAGAACACTCCTAAAGGCATTCTCCACCTCAAAAGAGGATTTCAGAGCAAAGCTCTCCCCAGTGCCCCACCATTCCAGCAGGTGTGACACAGAGGCTCACTCCCCAGTGCTGCTCTGCTGCTGCTGGACAGAACCGCAGGGAGCCCAGCATCCCAGGGGATTGAGCTGGGAGAGGTTGGAGCTGGAGCCAGTGCAGGGCAGCTGCAGGCCAGCGTAGCTGTGGGCTCGCCCAGCTCACGCTTGCGGTGGAAAAACCCCACGCTGAGCCCTGCTGCTCTACGGCTGTGTGAACACGATGGCTGTCACAGATGTAGTAAACTCATTTCCTGGAACTAAAAGGGGATGCCCCGTGTTTCAATCGTATGCAGCTGAGCAGCAGCACGTACCTACTTCTCCAGTTTTAAATGGAAATAAATGTATGTCACTGTGGTTAGATGTGACGCACAAGTCAGCCAGGACTCTGCTTGACATGCCACTCAAACGATCGCTGCGGTGCTAAAACACGGCTGTGATGGCTATGCAAGAAATTATCTCCTTCCAGAATATCTAACTACAGCTCAGCAGAGAATATTCAAACTTGAAATTTTCAGCTGGGCTCTTGAAGGATATCTGGGAAAAAGATGATTTTGGGCGAACAGATGACTGTTTTGGCTCTTCTTGCCATCCTTCCGACAGCTACTGGCGAGGAGCATGGTGGGTCTGGGCAGGTCCCCAGTCTCAGGCAGGAGGAGGGATGGGGCACCATGGCTGTGCTGTGTGACTGAGCATCTTGTGAAGGCTCAAGTTTTCCAAAGGAAAGCAGGGACAGTGGAGAAAAACTATTAGTCACCAACAAGGAAGAACTGTACTACAGACCACAGTTGATGAAAAAGTAAGTGGTAATTTATTCCATTGCATCTACTAGCTTTGTCTGTCTGAAACACTATGAATCCAAATTATCAACTTCCTCACTGCTAGTTTACTCTCTTCTCAGTTATATCAACAAAACAAGGCTTAAGTTTTAACAACATGTAGATAAAGATGAGACACTCATGTGCGTACTGAGGACGGTTATGCTATAGGCTCACTAGCAATGCCTGCTTTGTTTCAGCATTTCTGTCCTGAATTACTGTGCTGCTTTGATGACATGGAATGACTCCTGATTCCAGGAGATTAGGAGAACTCTAGACCACTGGCTGAAACATCCAAAACTCCAGACACCTGCAATCCTAGGTAAATCAGATGTCTTATTTTCAAACGGGGATCTTGGGAGCAAATGCATCAGACTGTAACAGCAATGGACTCTGCAAAACGATGTCTGCCAAGCACAGAGACTGAACTAGGTGAGACAGTTACAGCAATGCTCTTTCTTACTGCTACAATGAATAAGAAAGAATAATGTCACTGTTAAATTTAATTATTAACACTAATGTGGACAAAATGCAGGGAGCTTACAGAATCATAACCCGCCAGAGAAAAAAGGAGAGATGCTAAAACAGAGTTTAGCCAGGAAGAGCTCAGAGACTATCTGAAAGACATAATCAAACAACTACTAAGGCTCTAGGATGTAAACAGCAAGGAGGCATGACACAAAATCAGAACAAGGCAAAACGTACGTCTCGTATCTCTCATGTGATCAGGTAACAAACCTCAACAGACTCTTCTCAGAGACTCTTTTATTTGGTACACCTTAATGTTGCATTCACAATTAAGTTAACAAATAAGGAAAAAAAAAGCTGAAAAATAAGGCACATTGGTAGAGTGAAAAGGCAGATTGTTATGAGAATGTGGTCAGGAACTTTTACTGCTGTTAAGCAACTTGTAAGTTGAACTAGACAGAGTTGGAAGTGCCAAAACCAAAGTCAACTGCAGAGGAAATGCCAGGATTCTCTAGTTGGAGTTGCCGAGAAAATTGCTATGATTGCAGTTCATATGCATTTTCTAATGTATCTTTTATAGCTGTATAAGTAATATTGAATGGATCCAGTTAAATCTGGATCTGACAAAACCACAATGTAAAAATAGTTTCTTACAGACTACTTGTGAACAGTGTTGCATAGTAGGTGATGCAGATACTAATGTTATTGCTTTTTTGCAGAAAGGAGAGGAGAGGAGAGGAGAGGAGAGGAGAGGAGAGGAGAGGAGAGGAGAGAAGAGAAGAGAAGAGAAGAGAAGAGAAGAGAAGAGAAGAGAAGAGAAGAGAAGAGAAGAGAAGAGAAGAGAAGAGAAGAGAAGAGAAGAGAAGAGAAGAGAAGAGAAGAGAAGAGAAGAGAAGAGAAGAGAAGCGAAGAGAAGCGAAGAGAAGAGAAGAGAAGAGAAGAGAAGAGAAGAGAAGAGAAGAGAAGAGAAGAGAAGAGAAGAGAAGAGAAGAGAAGAGAAGAGAAGAGAAGAGAAGAGAAGAGAAGAGAAGAGAAGAGAAGAGAAGAGAAGAGGAGAGGAGAGGAGAGAAGAGAAGAGAAGAGAAGAGAAGAGAAGAGAAGAGAAGAGAAGAGAAGAGAAGAGAAGAGAAGAGAAGAGAAGAGAAGAGAAGAGAAGAGAAGAGAAGAGAGAAAGCTGCAGTTATTCAGACACATTTCAGCAGCGCTCACAGGCAGGAAAAGCTTCACCTCAGGTATGCTAGGCAGAAAATCTGCAGAGATACAGCCTGGGACTTCAGAACCCAGAGCAAGGACCTAGCCTTTGTGCTTTGCATCACAGTAGGCTGCTATCTGTGATTTTTGTCCACAAAAATGAAGCAATAGAAGAGGCATGCTGTGCAAGGTTAAGATGTCTAAGAGGGATGGAGAGAGGTGGAGGTGCCTTTATTTCCATGTATAGTATTGACAAGTGCAACACTGGCATATAGCATCCAGTTTTGTAACCACATCGTAAATCAGACAGGGTATGAAAACAGCCTCAAAATGACTACTGAGG